TAATATCTACGTCTCTGTGTCTCAGCTCTAATATCTACGTCTCTGTATCTCAGCGACGTGTCTCTGTGTCTCAGCTCTAATATCTACGTCTCTGTGTCTCAGCTCTAATATCTACGTCTCTGTATCTCAGCGACGTGTCTCTGTGTCTCAGCTCTAATATCTACGTCTCTGTATCTCAGCGACGTGTCTCTGTGTCTCAGCTCTAATATCTACGTCTCTGTGTCTCAGCTCTAATATCTACGTCTCTGTGTCTCAGCGACGTGTCTCTGTATCTCAGCTCTAATATCTACATCTCGATGTCTCAGCTCTAATATCTACATCTCTTGTGTCTCGGTGTCTCAGCTCTAATATCTACGTCTCTGTATCTCAGCGACGTGTCTCGGTGTCTCAGCTCTAATATCTACGTCTCTGTATCTCAGCGACGTGTCTCGGTGTCTCAGCTCTAATATCTACGTCTCTGTGTCTCAGCTCTGCTATCTACGTCTCGATGTCTCAGCTACTTGTCTCGGTGTCTCAGCTCTAATATCTACGTCTCGGTATCTCGCTGCAGGATGCGACCGATGATGAGGAGTATGAGGTGAACAACGAGCTGGCCAATAAGATGTCTCTGTTCTACGCGCAGGCGACGCCCATGCTGCGCACTCTCAGTGACATCATGACCAAGTTTGTGTCAGAGGTAGGCTGAGCAACTTGTATCGGTGATAGGTGGTATGAACTGAGGGCAGTGCTGTATTAAATCTGATAATATCTGTACTCGGGTTAGTGTTACGAAGAATTGATCATGTCTGGATACTGTAAAACTGTGACAGTGCAATAAAGAATGAGAGTTTTAAATAAAGAAGTTTGTGTCAAAGGTGGGCTGAGCGACTTCTTTCACTGTCGAATGTCGTAACATAACGAGTAAGCGCTTGTTCCTCTGTCCCGCAAGCCGATGGTATATCGTTGTGTGCATCCATGATGGAAGGATGCCGGTGAATTCTCTCTTCCCCGAAATGTTGTAAAGTAATGCTATTAATTAAGATTGATTCTCTCTATCTGGCATGTCTGTCACACATACTCTACTCCTTCCTACTAGTGGAGGGAGTAATGTATTCCCCTTCCTTTATATGTCATGATGTGACGCCGCAGCTCACCTCACGTTCCCACATGGAAGTGAGACTGCCGCCAGCCTCACTCATCGCCTATCATTGCAGAACAAAGACCTGCCGATCGAGAACACGACCGACTGTCTAAGCACGATGGCAGCCATCTGTCGGCGCATGATAGAGAATCCGTAAGTGTCGTCTGCATGCACGTTGCACGATCCCACCATGTCCTGCATACTGCCTTGATGCTTGGTGAGAGACGTGCGCGGGGAGGAGGAAGCATTTCTTCCAACCTTCGGGTGATGGGGGCGTCACTGTTTCGAAGTTTACTTGACACATTCGTAGCCGGTGGCGGTACAGGAGAGATAATTAAAACAAGGTAAACGAGAATGGTTTTGTAAGAATGGCAGTGGTGAGAGAGCGGAGTGCGTTTGTGCTGCCGTGGGAGCATGCCCTCGTACATGTTTTTGGGCATTATCATTGGTTGTAGCCGTGCATGTACGAGACTTGACTATTACACATGCACAGCTCGTAATACTCGTGGCATGGTCCGTGTAATGCTTCCGCCCGTCTGTGGTGAGGTTTGTGATTGTGCGTCGTTAATGCTTGCCTCTGCGGGTCTTGCAGGGAGTTCTGTGCGCGGTTTAAGAATGAGGACACGGTGTCGTTCTGTCTGCGGGTCATGGTTGGGGTCATCATCCTCTACGACCACGTGCATCCTGTCGGAGCCTTCTCCAAGAACTCCTGCATCGACGTGAGACAAATTGCATATCATTAACATTACTTAACAGCTAATTAAGTAATTAATGAAGTAGTTAATTATAGTGATGTCACGATCATCATTTATACTCAATCATCGGTTGAACAGTGGCTCGAACCAAGCGCTTGGTTATCAAAATCCAAAATCGATTTCATCGGGGAAAAAAAAAACTTGGAAAAGTGATGAGAATCAGAGATATCATAGCTACTATACAAGTTATCCTTTATTAAAACATACATGTATTATACACACAGTAGTAAACAGTGCAAAACAAACAGTAAACAGGGCTAAACAAGCACATACATGCACACGACATTACGCACACGCACTCACGCAGGCATTAAACACCCCGAGTAACCGATTGTAACCGATCATCGGTTACTTGGGTCCAACCGATGATCGATTACGAAATTACAATCGATTGACAACACTAGTTAATTAGCAGTTAATTTAGTAGTAACCTCTTCTTCGCGTTTAACAGTGAAACGGTGATGGGTGGTATGAACTGAGGGCAGTGCTGTATTAAATATGATAATATCTGGACTCGGGTTAGTGTTACGAAGAATTGATAATGTCTGGATACTGTAAAACTGGGACAGTGCAATAAAGAATGTGATAAATAGTGTGCAAATACTGTATAGGTTATAGGTGGTGTAGATAGTGTATAGATAATTAATAGATAATATACAGTTATAGGTGATGTAGTTAGTGTATAGATAATACACAGTTATAGGTGTTCAGTGCTCGAAATAAGAAAAAAAATGTGGTTGTCCTGCGGACAACCCAAGCCCAGGCATCAAATGCAGCCACAGTTGTTCCGCCCCAACAATTTCGGTTGTCACACCCAATATCCCCAATCTCCTCATTTCAATCACATAATAAGATGTCAGAAAACACCCAAAACAGTGGTGTAAGCCAGGATTTTTTAACAAGGGTGGCCAAAAACAGCAACTGCCGCAAAATACGTGGGATTGACCTAATATTTTAATGGCCTCCTCGCGCCTTCCTCTCCACACCCTAAGCCTCATCTACCTTCTCTGCCAATCTTTGGTTTGGGCTGCCATGTGAAAAGCGAGCATTTTTGTTCATGTTCTCTGCCCTCCCGCAAGATATGTAATGCTTCAGTGGCGGGTCGATGCGATTTCCAAGAGCGCGTGAGAAAAAAAAGCGGGGGTATGGGCAGTCCTCCCCCAGAATAATTTGAAAATTGTAGATCGCCAGGAGAGGGGGTATTTGCCAGCACTTATTGAGTACATGTACAGGCCGTCATCTGACTACCAACAATTCTCTTTTTTTGAACGTTCGGTATATCAACATGAATCCCCACTGCAGTTGTTGCTTTTGCATGGGCAAAAAGCCATCGGAAAATTCAAAACTCAAATTAATGGAATAAAAGAAATCCAAAATGTAGGGCCGTGAACTTGCTGCGTTTGCTGCCGTCCAAATCGAGTTCACCTCTCATAAATACAGAAGGAAACCTGACCATATACAGTGTTGGAAATAGCAGCTGCGTATGCGGGCTTTCCCACACCAAGATTAATGGCGGGCCGCCAGGCTATAAGTGCTCTGGAGAACCCCTGACGAAAACATAAATAAGTGCGTTTTTCGGTCAACTTTTTTCTGGTTGTCCACCCGCAGGCAATTCATCTCAGCCTTGGCCTCTAGGTTGTCCGCCACAAATTCTGGCGTTGGCTCGACAAACCGGGACAACGCTTATTTCGAGCACTGCGTTGTGTAGATAGTTAAAGCTTTAATATACAGTTATAGTGGTGTATGATAGTGTATAGATAATATACAGTATAGCTGGTGTAGATAGTGTATAGATAATATACAGTTATAGGTGGTGTAGACTAGTGTATAGCGATAAGAGATACAGTTAGTAGATGGTGTTGTAAGATATGTATAGTAATATACATTTATAGATGTGTAGTTGAGTGTATAGACTAATTACATGTTAGAGGGTCCCTGTAATAGTCGTATAGATAAATATACAAGTTCAGTTATAGGTGGTGTAGATAGCTTATAGATAATATACATGTTATCGGGGGTGTAGAGTAGTGTATAGATAAATAACCAGTTATAGGTGGCTCGCTAGATAGTGTATAGATAATATGCAGTTATAGCGTGGGTATGATTGAGTGTATAAGATAATAGTACAGTTATAGGTCGGCTGTAGATAGTGTATAGATAATATACAGTTTATAGGTGTTCGAGATAGTGTATAGATAATTACTTATAGGTGGTAGATAGTGTATACGTAATAATACAGTTATAGCGTGTTGGGAAGTTATAGATAATATACAG